TTATGAATAATCAGAATTACACACAGTTTAGCTGGAGAACTCACAAATAAAGTAAATGAAATAACAAAAATGTGGGGAGAAAGGTCTAAAAACATTACTATATTACACATAGATTTAATAGAGGAAAGCACATAGACAAAACAAAGTAGAAAGGCCGCAGTGCTCTACCAATTTACAAAACCGTACTAAATCTAAGCACTGCCCAGTCTAACGTATATCATCTTTTCTACAACAGAGATAAAAATAAGAATTGAAGCAACATTGTGTGTGCATATAATAAAATCACTGACAACAAATCTCTAGAGGACATGCATTCAAAATCCAGTTACACCTGGCCACTTTCTTCTCTCCAAAGCCTCATCACAGCTCTTTCCAGTTTAATAGATTCCCGGACTGCAAAAATGTCTGAGCTATTACCTTCCCAAAGGAAGGTCTGAATCTTGTTTTTTTTTAAAAGATCTGTTTTGCAGCTGCCCTTGTACCATCTGCCCTAAAGTAAAAATACCCTACATACCAACCACGTCCCCCAAACCACCTTCTCTATCTGATGCCCTGAGGCACAGCGCGTCACAAGCATATGATTAAGGCATGGCCTCGCAAGGCCAAAGAAAACAGGTATGCCGCAAAGTGCAAACCCGCAGACTGCACTACCAAGATCTATCATTTTACAAGTAGTTGCAATATCCTCCACTTTAGCCCTGACCAAATATGCACCAACAGCTCTGCAGTGTCATCACCGAGCCCCAGTCTGGACCCTTTATTTAAAAGCTGCTTTTAGGGATTCGGTGACTCTGTGTCATCTTGAACAAATCCAGACTTTAACATTCCTTGAATTCAAATCCTAGCACACACCTTATTTAAATCAGTTCACTTGTGTTTATTCCAGAAATAAGCACCTCCTCGCACATGTAAAACAATATTTAAAAAAAACCCAAACTGTATCGTGTTAAAAGCAATTAAAATACAACTCATTAAAAATTATAAACAAGTAGTGCCTAGTAGAACAAGTATTTGGCAAAAATCTATTGCCCATCAGGAGATAAAGTTGCTAAATCTTATTTACATTCTTCCTCTGTTTTTTCAGAGGCATCGTGGCCATTGGCAAGTCATTCAGGCTCGATGACCCAACTTAACTTACATATCTAACCCACACTGGAATCAACGTGCCCCTTCCACCTTACAGAGGAATAAAATGTGACTATTGTTTGTTAAAATTTTGTGAGCTGCTATTTGAATCATGCTCTCAAACACTTTAAAAACAAAATATTAATGATCTACTACAGCAACTAACACCGTAAGTGTGAATTAGCAGCTAATTCAACCTCAGTTTAAAATATTAGTAAACCAGTGATTCAAGTTTGATTCTTCAGGCATATCCACACAGTTCCTGAAACACACTATTTTCATAATTACTTAAATGCAAAAACTGTCAATAGTAGGTCTCAAAAAAAAAAAAAGAGGGTAGTTTCCACCAAAAGAGATGCATTTTAGAGAAATGTATTCAAGAGAAAGACCTAAATTTGTTTTAATATACCCTCAATGCCCATGCACCACCTGCTCAGTGAATATAATTTCCTGAGAAGAAATAAGTCAATTATTCCTATGATCTGAGGTCTTCAAAGCTGCCTGGGAGAGTAAAACTGCTCATTCCAGTGACAGCTGTGGGCCACAATCCCCTGTGACAGGCTTTGAAAAATCTCAGCTTTACAGATCAATTGGCAGTAAAATTCTCATTCTCTGCAAAGTCTTCTGGATATTCTTAAATTTGTAATGTGCCTGTAATGCAGTATATCCGAGACAGATGATGCCAAAGCACTATAGAACTCAGAGGGGAAAAAGCACTTTATAAAGGAGACAACCGTCCTCCCTATTGACTTATGAATATGTATTTTCCTGTTTAATTCTTTACCGTTCACTAAAGACGCTACCAAAACCTGGCTGAGTCCAGCAGCAGCTTTACCGGCAACACATCACGTTTTTGGGTCCTTTTGCTGTCAATTGCTCAGTTTCACAAGACACTGTATTTATATCTTGCAGTTAAAAATGGAATTACCTGAATGCATAAAACGCACAGGAAAAGTCTGGGAGAAGGATGACTGCTAGGCTCACCACCGAGCATGTCCCAGCTGTCGCTGCCCTAATGACAGCCCCTGATTTGAGGTTGAGAGATGGAGCCTGGGCAGCGCTGAGAGTTTTATGAGTGAGCAAAGCCAGGCTCCCCACGCTGCTGAGGAAGATTGCTTCCGTTTGTTGTGTTGCATTCATTTTCATAGGATTTGTTGCTCCGAATATTGCGTTCCTTAAATTTTAATTGACCAGCCAGGAGGTCCAAGGAAGTAACAGATTCAGCATACATCTTAAGTCTCCAACCATTTACATACTATTGGAAAATAAACTAGCTGAAGCTCTGCTAAGAATTATAATACTAAAAAAAAATTTTAAAAAAAGCAAACAAAAAATCCCACAAAATCAAATGCTTTGACAGATTCAACACTCTCCCCCCCAACAGATACATAATATCATTTGCACTCTCACAGAAGCCTTTTCAGTTATTCCAAACTAATGAAAAGGTGACATACACTGTACTACTAAATACACCACTATACACCAACTTGCTAAGAAAGGGAACGTAAACAGAATTAAAAATGGGCTATGAAGAAGAAAAGACCTTAGGATTTCTTAGTAAACACAGGTGTATATCCAGCTTAGTGAGGTATCTTGAAAAGCCTTTTTATTTTCCTTTTTAACTTCATCCTGCTAAAAAAAAAGATTACTTTTTACAGGTGGTGAGAAGTAAAACTGACTGATTTTATAAGGTAGATCAAGAATTAACTTTCATTTCCTGTTCCTACATTATGTTTAATATCCTGAGTATTCTTCAGATCGTGTAAAATATTAGATAGTATACCATACCCATACACTGAACTTCAATCTCTTCAGCAAAATCTACAGAAATACAATTCTCCAACATTACCAGATACTGAAATTGCTTGCTGCTTCCCCTTGCAATAACACATCTCCTGAATCTGACTTCTCCAATTAAAAGCACACAAAAACTATTTCCTGTAGTGCCTTCTCTCAATCACTTCTCCTTTCTGAAACATCAGGCAACTGAGGGGAAGGAACGACCGTATTCAAATACAGAGGATCCAAATTCAGGGTAAGCAGAATGACTGCTGATATTTATTGACTCCTGAATTGGGAGGTGGAAGAGGAACAGCAATGGTGACATTAACCTGAGGGCTTCCTGCCCATGTTTCAAGACTCGATCACAATTATTTGCTACTAAACCCTTGTCTCATTCAGAACACAAAATACGCCTGCTCTAAGGACTCTGCAAATAAGAGACTTATGGTCCACAGATCCTCCTTATTAAGTAGGTAATCTGCTAGAATGTAAACTAGTTTATGTCTGAAAGATCATCTGGAGAAACGGCTTCCGTTCATCTCTGCTACATAGTTCTTGTGATGCTGGTTACTGCCTTCTCCTGTTCTGGTTTCTCTGCTGAAGAACCCAAGACTTGATCTGCCCAAGTACTGCCACCCTAGTGGAAACTGTCATCTGAAGTGGTGAAATGTTGGAGTGCTAAGCACTCTAGAAAGAAAAACACAAAAAACCTAGAAGCCTAAAGTCTCAACTTCAGCATCCAAAATCAGTGAGACCTAGTCCCTCTGCATTAGCTCCTCACCTGTAAAGGAGAGTAACACCAGGTCCTCGTTCTGCTGAAGCTGTCAGAAAAGACTTTAATGCTTACAGAAGACTTCTACTTCAACAGAAGGATGAGTTAATTAGTAATTCCATCTTGAGACACAACTTGGATTAGCCCACATGTGTAGGCAACAACACTTCATCCTGAACTGCAAAACTGGCAGGATCAAGCCACGTTTAAAAGGACACCACAGAGCAGGAGCGCAAGACCATGACGGCCACAACGGTGTTACTTTCAGTTGAGTAACAGGCACATGGTGGAGATTTCCTTCCCTATCCTTTCTGTCAGTCTGCTTCAACTGGCAGCTGTCACCACTCCCACTTCACAGGAGAATGAAGAGGTCCTCAGAAGAGGGAGTGAAACCATGAGACACCTCCTGGGGAGATGATCTGAGAAGGGCTTCGTAAAAAGGTGCACCTCTGGAGTCACCTCACCTTCCCTAGTTCCAAACACCCCTCAAGGAAGACGGTAGATAGGCAGGTTGGCCAACCATCCAATTATGATTATGCACCATTGCGTTACAGGAAATAGGAGGAGCACGTTGCTAATTGCTCTTTTGATTACAGCAGGCAGCCCCAGCGCAGCGCGAGTTGCTTAGCAACACATCTCAGTCCTTGCGAGAGTCAGCAACCAAGAGAGTCAGCATCCATTTCGGAGGTAGCCTCAAGGAGCAACAAGACACCAGCAGTGTAAGCAAGCAGGGGTTGTGATCCACAGCACCTTCTTCTGCACTCTGGGGGAAGCCAAACATCCGAGATGCCAATTCACAGCTTCATTTACATTCAGTGTACTTTCCGTAAGCCACACGGTCATCTTCAGCATCCTTAACAAGCATGGTATCAGCAGCACAAGAAAGGGTACACATGGTAATTAACATTTAGTTCAGATGTGTTAGAGAAAAAGAAGCAACCCTGCCAATTAGCAACCAGCAGATTAAGTACAACTTTTATCAGTAAACAGCCTGCCTGTCTTGGAGAAGAGTTATATAAAAATGATAGAACAAAATAACATTATGTACTTTGGAGAAAGTAGTTCTGCAGGCCTGGACTTGGGCTACTTGCAACACGACGACTAAACCCTAACAAAAAGCCGACACTATGCAAAATAAAAGACACAAAGCACTTGAAGCAGAACACACCCATGCCCAAACAGCCACACAACCCATTACTGAGATCACACACAGTGCAGGTGTACTCCCAAAAAGCACAAGCAAGTCCAAACAATGAGAGACACTTGTGTACATTTTAAATGAGCACTGAAAGGATTTTAAGCAAAAATGTGTCATGCATACCCTCCTCTTCTGTGGCGCTCCTTGTGCTTGGATATTTTGTAAGGCAGTGACCTTTCTCCCAGGTTTTCCAGGTTCCTCACAATGGCTCCTCTCTCCATAAGAGCCTCAACAGTGCGCTTCAGCACAGCTGCAGTCTCAGGCTTGAGAAGAAAAGAAAAAAAAGAAAGCGGGAAATGTACACAAATCTGGTTAATTTTATTACGCGATTAGAAAGGACATCTGTACTTGCACAGCTCAGCGCTGGAAGACACCATCCGGTAACTGGAAGCAGAACTCCTCCTAAAGCAGAACATTTTATAGAACAAACAACAAACTCCTTTGTGAATTACAACAACAGCAAAGTTTCCACCAATTTCAAAGCCAGGCCCCAGCAACAACAGGAAGAAGGAACTAGTTAATGGATTTAACTCACCTGGTACCACTTTGGCTGACCTTTGCACAGGTCTAAGTAAATATACGCAGCAAAGTGCAATTATGAATTGGCAACAGTTTTAAGGTTCCCAGACCACTGATGCCTGACATTGTTCACCACAACAATTCAAGTGAACAGTGTGGGGGGAACGCTAATCTGTGGCTTGTGCCATATTCATTTTACATTGTCATTTCAGCTGCACGTGCATAATAGATATTTGGACCCGTGGCTAAATCACTGCACATCTCATTACTTTGGCATAGTCGACAACCAAGCCTTTTTAAAAGTTAAGGAACTGACGTGCAGTAATTAGTCTAACATGCAGAGATTTCATTCCTTAGAAAAACAAGTTTGAGGGACAGGCAGCCAAAAAAACAGTAGGTAAAACAGATGCATCGTTTTCTTGCTCACTGTGTATCAGGGCTCTTTAGAGCGCTGAATCATTTTGGTAATGGCACTCAACAATATCTATGAAAATGTTCATAAAGTACAAATTAGAATGTTTTGAAAACAACTGCAAACTTATACAGTCTCAGCAACAAGAAGTATTTTAAGAAACAGTTCTCCTACAGAGAAAGGAAACTAACTGGATGTCCAGACAAACAGAAACTAAACTGTATAGCTTCCTTCCATGCTCCTTGCAACATTTGGCATCAGTCTATATTCCCAAGTCTAATTGTTTGGTGAGATGGCAATAGCCATTATCGGAAGAGAGATATTTTTCACCTTTATTCAGATTTTGTTAAATCAGACCACCATAATAAATTCACTGCCCCTTCTCAGCCAGAAGAAAACTTGTGTAAGCCTTCAATTACCTTAGGTATGAGATAATTGAGACTCAGTTTCCTAAGTCTAAGGTAGAGATGTATACCAAGAAAAAAGGGTTGCCTAATGTCTGGATTCCCTAATGGAAACTGGTGGGAAAAGGTGGTACCAGAGTCTCAAAACACACACATCCTCACAGCCCATTCTCTAGCAAGTGAAATTTCTTTTTCATTTTCCTGAGGATACAAAGCAATATGAAAGAGCCTCCTAAGACTGAGCAGAGATGTTCAGTGTGTGACTTTTTGCAATATTGGCTGCTCCTTGAAAGAACTGAAGCATAGGCAGCCTTAAATGTTTTCTTGTTTCCATGGGCTAACTGCAGCCTGTGGCAGCCAAGGAATCAATCACAGAATCACACCTACTGCTCCTCACTATCCATCAGAAATTTTATCCCTCTTTCTCCAGCTGCATAAACTGTTTGAGAAATTTATTTTCAACACAAAGGGCCTATCAGCAAAAATATCTGAACTTTTTTTCAACATATCTTTAGATTATCAGGAGGACAGAGCCAGGCTCTTCTCAGGGATGTCCAATGACAGGACACGGGGCAACAGGAGCAAGCTGGAGCATAGGAGGTTCCATAAAAACATTAGGAAAAACTTTTTCACTGTGAGGGTGACGGAGCCCTGGCACAGGCTGCCCAGGGAGGTTGTGGAGTCTCCTTCTCTAGAGACTTTCAAAACCTGATTGACACGTTCCTGTGTGACCTACTGTAGGTGATCCTGCTCTGGCAGGGGAGTTGGACTAAATGATCTTTCAAGGTCCGTTCCAATGCCTGATATTCTGTGATTATGCTGTAAAACAGTTACGAGGACCAGACAAGGACGTTCATACATGAAGAAATGTTGCTACCTTGCATTAAAACTGTTGGTTTTTACAAGTATTTCTTGTCACGGTGTGAAAAATGAGGATGAAGGGATAAAGAGATTTTATACTATATTAATTTATATAATATTTTGGATCTAAATCAGGAATAGCACTGTTTTTTTTTTCAGTTGACTTAGGATGGCTGCTTTCACTACCACTTGTTAGTTTTTCATGCTTAGAACTTACTTCCCCAAAAGGTCTGCAGAGCTTATTGGCTCTCCTCACAACTCCTTTTGGCCTCTTGCCACAAAGCAAGCCATTCCTACAAATGTTACAGGGATGTGAATTTCTGAGATGTCTAAAACTCAGTTGAGCTTACCTGGAACTAACTCAGTGTGTTTAAAACTTACAAAGGAGAAACTGACAGATGGACAGGCAGACTACAACTATACAGCTCTTTGCTAGAAAAATAACATAAAACCAATTCTGTAAAATCATATAGGTATTTGCATGTTGATGCTACAGCTGATGATGTTGACCACCTGTTGATGCCATGGTAATACTTCCATTTTCCCCTTTAAATCTATCCCTTGCATACTAGAATCAAATACTAGAGTATCCCATCAACACAAGGATTTTCTTCCAAGACTGGATTCTTAGTCTTCTCTTTATGCTCATATTTTGCGTTACTTTTCAGCAGTGACACACAATCCTCCCTCTCTCCACAAACCCAAGAAGGACAAGCAAATATTATAAGAGAAGAACTGGGAAGTGGCAGCAGTGGCACATTACTCCCTCAGTACTTTGAGCAGTACTCAAGGAATGGGAAGGGTGACTGTGAAATCTGTTAGCTGAGCTGACAGGACTGAAGGTGAAGAACAGGATCAAGAAAAAACAAGTAAGGATATCGAGTACTGTCTTCACAATAATGTCAGCAACTAGGAGCGAGCATAGAACAAAATCTCTTATTCTGCATTACACCCACATGTTGTTTTGTCAAGGTGAAAAGTGTTTTTTGAAGCCTCTGCTATTGGAGAAGCATCAGCAACAGCCAGAGAAAGGTTGTAGCTCTGTATAACCTGACCCTGTCCTCCGCACTCCTCAAATACCAAAACACAAGGGCAGAAAGGGTAGCAGAGGCTCTTTTAACACCTTCCCCATAAAGAATTTCTACCCAAGCTCCTCACAGCTGTTTTAACCTGACTTACACAGCATAGAGGTGGGAGAAGCTGGCCCAAACTCTAGACAGGTTTTACGACGCACCCATCAGTGCAAGATCTCAGCACTTAAACTCATCTCAATCAGGAACTGCTGTTGAGATGACCTCACTCATTGTCAAGCAGCAGCTTCACACAGGAAAGCCAAAAACTAGGGTAACAGAGCTGCCAGTGATATCCATAGTTTAATGCTGTAAGAACCATACCCGAAATCTGGCTTTAGGAAAGAAGAGAAAAACAAGAACAAGTCGGTTTGTGAAACATACACCAAGGTAAGCATTACTATCTAGGTTTTGCCTTTCAAACAAGAATCTGACACCAATCGCTAGGATCTTACTTACCCACATTAGTAAGGGAAATAAGCAGTTTTAGGAGAGAAAGGGCAGCTAACCTAACAGCTTGAATATTTTGTGCGCTCCAGTGCACCTATAGTGATTCCAACCCTAGGCTTGAAAATACACTCATGGAAAGCAACAGGATCTGCCATTCTTCTCCCACTGTGCCTGCTGTGTGTGGTTAGGTTGCAGAAGCCTTCATAGTGCTCAGACAATTATTGCAGGAGAAATCCGTCAGGTCAATGAATAAAAATACAGTTAAGTTTACTGTTGCTACTTGTCTCCCACTTGCATGAAAAAATGCTGATCCTTAAACAGAGCTCCGTACAAAAGTCTTAATTGTTTGAGACCATTAGACAAACAACTGTATGTCCAGGTGGTGTCGTCTGACATACCCTTCTTAACAACCACGTAGATTTAAGTTAAACGTTACTGAGTAAGCTTATTGCTCTATATCGCTTGTACCCTCAAATGACACGTAAGTTTTTTTGTCTCTTTTATACATGCCAACAGATCAGCACATTCTCTGAGTGGCTGCATGTCCAACATGATGTGCAGTTTCTAAACACAATGAAGCCTAAGATCAAGTCCCATGTATTTAAAAAACAAGACAAAAAGAACAAGAAAAGAAAGCCACAGATTTCTACATTAAGGATTGTAAAATATTACGCGTTTCTGCAACCTCTCCACTTGTGGACATACTCTGAAAACATAAACTAATTGTTGGTTTTGAAAGCTTGTCACTGTAATCTCTCTCATTTTTCCTCTCCCAAAACGATCATGGTTTATCATAGCTTGCCTAAAGCCATCAACCAAACTATATATAGGCTAGCTTTCGCTAACCATAATATCCACAGACACAGGTTCCTCGGTTTGCCTCAGAGCCAGACCAGTTGAGGACATAGGAAATGGTATTGCCTGGCTCCCAACCCTGGAGCCACAACATTTTTTCCTGAACAGCCAACGCTAACTCCAGCACCACAGATGTGGGGAAGCAAAGATGAGGGAAAGAAAAGGAAAAAATGGAAGCTAGTGCCAGCACATCCACGCTGGATAGCAAGAAGCGCTAGCAAGAGTATGTAAACCCTAGTATGTAATTCTAGCTCTGGTTTCAAGCCAGAGCCCTTTCAAACTGGTTTTGCCCTTAGTGAACTTGGGGAATTTTACTAGTGACCTTGGTTCACTATCATTCCGCCACCTGGTACCCAGAAAGGTACAGCCCTACAGACCCAGCTAAGCCATGGAAGGAAGAGGAAGGAGGTCACTGCAGACTGTCCAAGGGCTTCTTGGAAAACTCCCCCTGGAAGGAATAACTGAAGGACTATTGCCTACAGATCATAATCTCCCACTCCTCTACCCCCACTTTTTTCTTTCAACTTACAGCTGCCCAGAAGAAACCTGCCCTGTATCTGCCAGGCAAAACAACTGCAACAGAGGTTACGCTAGCAAACATACTTCCTGTTTGTTGTTGGCCTTCTCCATGGATAAGAATCGCTGCAGCCCTGTTTGCCATGTGGTTGCACTGCGAGGGAGACCCCACAGAGCCGCTGCTGATGTTTGCAGGAACTACATGCATCGTGATCACCAGGCACCTTTCCACAAAGAGCACATTTCAGTTAATTTAAAAATCCACAATTCCCATGAAGTTGTACATAGCCCCAGGTGTCACATAAACCACAGCTGAATGCCACGGTCTCAGCACTTCCACCGTACCTTTCTGGCTTCTCTGTTTCTCCTCACCAGTCTTTCAGCTTTGCATAATAAACATCACCCAAGTGAGCAGAAAGCTGTTTAATCCACAGCCTTCTCCAGCATCTCACCAAATTTCACAAATGGAAATCAATTACCACCCAGAATCAAAGCCACAGACACACAGTAATAATGAGCAAGTAGTGCAACACAGCACCAACAAGCTCTTCTTGAGAGGAGCGTTATGTACCACCAACCACCATGTGTAAAAACCATGCTATAGGTTTTTTATCAGTCATACAGAACTCACATGGCAATTAGCAAGCATAATAAAAATAAGTGAAAAGGAAAAAAAGAGGGAAATACTCTGATAATAAAATATCCTCTGTTCTACTAGAGTCCAAAAAGACATGAGCTTGTCAGCCATGAAACTTGAAAGAATAGCTTAGAAGCAGACCAAAAACATGGCAGGGGCTTAAAATAAAGGTTTTGTAATGCTGATGTCTCCAAAAAAAAAAAAAAAAAAGAGCCACCCACCCAATCCTAAAGGGAAGGACAACACTGTGGCCAGAACTAGAGCCATGTGAAAGGACTCTGTGCCACTGCCCAATTTTCGATAGCTGGCCAGAGGGAGGTCGAGAGATGACAGAAAGTCAAAGGGATAGAAAAAACAGAACTGGCTAAAAAAGAAGCCTTCTCAAGCCATCAAAGGTCCTCTGAGGAAGCAGAAAGCAAATACTTAGTTTTAGGGCTAGGAGTGTACTCAGGCTCTTCTGACAACTTATTCAGTTGAACAGGAAGCATTTAAAGTTAGTGGGGATATCTTAAATTATAAACAGAAAGAAATCCATCATAATTAGTTTGATTACCCCTTCAACATAGCAACAGTAGGATAAAATTATTATATTATCTTTATTTGATGTTGTTAAACAGTTAGAAAAGGTTGTTCTGAGATTATTTACTGATGTGGAAATCAAAGAATGCAGAATCTATGTTTGGAGTAAAGCTGCAATTCAAAAGCAGCAAAAATAAGGGAGAATAACTCCAATTCCTTACTGTCATTTACTACATAATAAAACACTAGAAACTCATTAGTGAAAATGATAAAAAAACCCCCACACATATATTTGAACTAGCCAAGATCAACACTGGCAAAAGAAAGAAGAGCTTTGCAAAAAGAAACAAGGGGAAGCTGGAAAAAGTCATTTAATTGTCACCCCCTGGTTTCAGTACACAAGAAGATACAGCAAACGGATGAAAAAATAATCAGCAGATTAAGAATGGACAGCAAAGAAAAAAATGACTGCTAATATTAGTAAAAGCCATAGCCAGGCATACAGCACAACCTGTGGCAGAGCTGGTCTTTATCTGCCTCAGGTACAAGCTTCCACTCGTGGCGCAAGATGTGAAGCTGCAATTACTATAAAAGCATAACACAGAACAGCAAGGATAGGTGCCATGCAGAAAAGATCAATATAAAAAGCAGTAGATCAAGCAAACAGAAGATATAGGAGCCGTGCTGCACCCCTGCTAAAAAGGGCCTGCATGTGCCTGACAAGCATAATTGGGATGTCCAGAAATGGAACAACAAAAATGTGAGGACTCTGCCTGGAAGTTCAGACCCAGGCAGGGGTGGGGAGGGATTAGTCTAGGAAAAGCTGGACATGGGGCAGAACTATAGGTAGGGACAGAGATTTCTTTAACTACAACACTATAATTTTCCCCGATCTAGAATAAGGAACAACTGGGAGAAACCCAGATGCTCCTGAACGCATTTTGTATTTCAAATATTGATTGAAGGAGAAGGTGTGACACTATTCTAGAAATTGGCAAATAGCAAGAAAGTCAGAGCAGGCAAGTCAGCAAAAATGTTGGGGGAAATGATCAAAATTGACTCACTCTGAATTAAAAATAACACCCCATCCTCAAAACAGATCTTTAATTAGTATTTTAACAGGGTATAAGCCAAGGAACTAGCTACTGCACCTGATGCAAATACAAAGTCTGGGGACTTGGATACAGAGGAAGCAGCAACTTGTAAGGTCAAAGTGATGCTAGTATGTCTTCTGTCCAGAAATCCACCTTCCTAAAAAAAATTAATCTAAATTCCACAACATGTTTTAACTCAACATTTAAGATCAAGGGAAATTATTAAAGAAACTGAGCTTAAAAACAAGCAATACAAATACCCTATAAATACCAAATCATAGTTAAATTGACACAACAGTCTCAACACTGAATGTAATTGAATTTAATTTAATTTAGGGAGTAGATACCCTTGATAATTTCTAAAAAGAACTCTGGAAGGTATCTTGTAAATCTGAAGTAAGTAGCTACTAAATCCTCCATGATTCGACGCCATTTCAAGGGTTTATTACTAGAAACAGTTAACATAATTGACCAAAACTTCAGAACCAATAAAACACCTTCCTTAAAACTTCATTTAGAAACCTTCCCTTTTGTTCTCAATGACAATATAATATGGGCTTCAATATAACACTCCTGGCCAACTAAAGTGCTTACCAGAAACTTCCTGAGACCAAGCTTACCAGAAACTACAAGTTTTGTTCCTCATGACTTTTAGATGTGCATACATTTTATCAAGTTTACTCTATATGTTCATTAAGCTTAAATAATCAAAAGTAAAAGGGGAAAAAAACCTAAAAAAAAAAGCACCACTACACATGGAGGAGTAATTTTCAAACACTTTTCCTCCCTGGCTTGGCAAATGCATGCACGCACACACATATGCATGTACTCACATACAAGTCCTGGCTTTCCACATTTGTTGTGTTTTAAGACATAAACCAAAAGACATTCCAATGAAGAGAATAAAAAGGTAACAGTAGGAGCAGTAAAAACAGAAAGGTGAGAGGAAATGAAGCCTTGGGATACAGAAGCTGGAACCACAGTCAAGAAGCCAGTGTTTCTTTCACCATCTCTGTCCTCTCCTGAGGATATTCCAAGGGGATACATGGTTGCAGTTTCCATTTCAGCTCATCAGTTCCTCTTCCCAAAGCAATGAGCTGCCAGTTTTAAGGTGCTCCTGACTTCTCAAACTTTTCTTTGATTCCTCAAGCATTTGGACTGCTGTTGCTCAGCCTCATGGATCCACCTTCAGAAGACCCAGAGATAAGCAAAATGCAAAGCCAGGCTTCACCACACAGCCTAGTCTAATCAAGATCTGCATCAAATTATGCAAATTTTTAAAAAGAATTTTTAAAAAAGAAATCCTGTGCACAAAGTACTTTTAGGATTTTAACTACCGCAGAGAGCAGATGTTTTGCTCCTTCTTCCTCCCCATCTTCCAAGATTACAGCCAACTTACAGCCTACTGCTTGCTTGAGAAAACTGGTTATGCTTTCTCTGGATTAGAGGTCTTGTGATGCACTTTTACCTAATAAGATGCTTAATATGATGTAATTTATATGAAAACAGGCTATGGATAAAAAATAGCACATACAACCTCAGCACCAGAGTTAAGCTGGAACTTTGGGAGCTTACTTCTCAAGAATGTTATCTATACTATCAAATTTCTCAAGATTAATTTTAAATAAGAATTTTAATTCCAGATAAGATCTCTATTCTCAAATGCACTCTTCCTTTCAATCTCTCCCCTCTAACTCAGCCTTGCTTCCACCTTCATATACTGTGCGTACGGCTCACCTAGGATTTTCTCTCATCAACTTATTTTAAGCTTTTCTATTCGCCCCCATATTTAACACCAGCTTGGAAGACTTACAGACGCTGTCAAAAAGCTGCTATTTCCAAGGTAAGCTGGAGCCCATCATCTCCTTGCCCCAAATGTTCAAAAGCAAAAGGCTGCCTGAACACAGAGCTAATCGTTCCTTCAGCTGGCCTGGCACCTCTGTTCACAACATTCTCTGCAAGTTGAGGAAGGAATCAAACGACCATCAAACTACTGTGGCTACCACTTGCTGCCCCAGACACCTGAGGGACAAAGTCAAGGGTATTATCAAGAAGGAGAAAGGCTTTGGTGTGTTGCAAACAGTACACAATGTGACCAGAGCTCACAGCCCAAGCCTTTTCCCCACCACGCGATACTGAGCCTGGTACTTTTCCCACAGGGAACAACTTGCTGTCCGACAGGGCACGGGCACATGCACAGGCAGCTCTGGGCATACATAGCATTTTTCAAATCAGCTTTCACACCTCTCTAATTAGGCAAAATCTGCGCAGCAACAAAGGAAACGGTCGCTGCATGGCATCCAGAAGAGAAACACTAGTTTGGATGACTCACAGCTGCATGAGCCAAACACAGTAGAGTTGTAATGTAATGTAATTTTTACATTTTCTGGGTTGGACACTTCCAGCCTTGGAGTGCCAGCAATGGTCCAGCCTTGGGAGAAATATCTGCAACTGTCCAAACCATCCATTGTAGCAATTTGGATACATTCCAACCAACTCCAGACCTCAGGTGTACCACTAGCACCATCCAGACTAGTCTAAGTCACTGAAGAGCCCCCTCCTATGCAAGAAATCTTTTAAGGACTAGAGATCCAGTTCCTAATACAGAGCTGTTACACCCACCATGCACATCCTTAATGCCATAGAAGAATAAAGAAGAGTCAGGACCAAGAAAAAGCTGAAAGTGGTTAGTGAAAAACTCTGAAGAATTTGTGAGGATGACTGCCATAATCTTCAAGCCCTCACACTTTTGCATAGAAGTCACCATCTGAACCAGAACAGCATTTAAGATGAAAGTTGCACTGTTTTCACCAACTGGTATGCACAAGTGAAAGTGAATCACAGCAATTTCTTGCTCAAATTCTACTGTACACTACAGCATATGTACTGTGATACTCAAAGCTAACTTACAAAACTAGCTTCATGGTTCAGATAAGTAATAAAAACAGTTGCTGACAA